CCTCTGATCCTCTGGTCCTCTGATCCTCTGATCCTCTGGTCCTCTGATCCTCTGGTCCTCTGGTCCTCTGATCCTCTGGTCCTCTGATCCTCTGGTCCTTTGGCCCTCTAGCCCTCAGGTCCTCAGGTCCTCTGATCCTCTGATCCTTTGGTCCTCTGGTCCTCTGATCCTCTGGTCCTCAGGTCCTCTGATCCTCTGGTCCTCTGATCCTCTGGTCCTCTGATCCTCTGGTCCTCTGGCCCTCTGGCCCTCAGGTCCTCAGGTCCTCTGATCCTCTGATCCTTTGGTCCTCTGGTCCTCTGATCCTCTGGTCCTCAGGTCCTCTGATCCTCTGGTTCTCTGATCCTCTGGTCCTCTGATCCTCTGGTCCCCTGATCCTCTGATCCTTTGATCCTCTGGTCCTCTGATCCTCTGGTCCTCAGGTCCTCTGATCCTCTGATCCTCTGGTCCTCTGATCCTCTGGTCCTCAGGTCCTCTGATCCTCTGGTCCTCTGATCCTCTGGTCCTCAGGTCCTCTGATCCTCTGGTCCTCTGGTCCTCTGGTCCTCTGGTCCTCTGATCCTCTGATCCTCTGGTCCTCAGGTCCTCTGATCCTCTGGTCCTCTGATCCTCTGGTCCTCTGATCCTCTGATCCTCAGGTCCTCTGATCCTCTGATCCGCTGGTCCTCTGATCCTCTGGTCCTCTGATCCTCTGGTCCTCTGATCCTCTGAGCCTCAGGTCCTCTGATCCGCTGGTCCTCTTATCCTCTGATCCTTTGGTCCTCAGGTCCTCTGATCCTCTGGTCCTCAGGTCCTCAGGTCTTCTGATCCTCTGATCCTCTGGTTCTCTGATCCTCTGATCCTCTGATCATCTGATCCTCTGGTCCCTGTTCCTCTGGTCATTTGGTCCTTGGTCCTCTGAAACTCTGGTCCTCTGGTCCTCTTATCCTCTGATCCTTTGGTCCTCTGGCCCTCTGGTCCACTGGACAGAGGTTCTGTCTGCACCTGAGCTGGGCTTTCAGATGGTTCCTGAAGTTCACCCTCTTCCTGTCTGTTAGTTTGAGGCAGTCCTGTCCGAAGGTCCAAAATGTTCTGGTCAGGTTGAAGAATCTAACCAGGGGGAGTGAGGTCTTCTGGACGGACTCGTTTTAGCTGCTTGTAGAAGCTCCGAAATATCTTTTAATATTTAAAAACGGTTTAAAGCAGCAATAATCTGACGTGTAGGTTGTTTGATCACGATAATCCTCCTTAATCTAACATGTTAATCTGGAGGAAGCTGTAGTCACAC